ACGGTCGCTTAAAAAAACATTGTCTATATTTGCGTGTTTCTGCTGGGGTCTACACCGTAGGCAAATTCGCGTGAGAGTCTTAAGTTTTCTTATTTTGACATAATAGCTATTTTGCAATAAATATATTGATATTAAATTTATTGAATCGATATTTTAAGTTTCACGCCAGTTATAAGCGCTATAGCGCATCATAAGCATAGATATCTTATATAAGATATCTATGATCATAAGTTTCAGATGGCATGCAACATGTACGCAGTGCGTACCTATTTTTAATAATGTCTTGTTGATATTCAAACAAAAACAACAGTTACTTGAATGTATACAAAACATCCGGTTGTATAAATACGCAGTTAAGCTAATTAACACCTCACCCCAGGAGTCTTTGTGATGTACACAGTAAGAGCTAGAAATTATGAAGGCGGCAATTAAAGTGTTGTAGACCTAACGGGCACCCAGTTCTCAGTCATTAAAGTATATTAGTTATTAGTTCGTATTTATTGCTTCTATGGCTATGTTTCCACTGTACCGGAGACCTAGCGGCGCGAAAAAGCACCTGTCCGATACGTACGGAATGGCAAACTTTTAGAAGTTGAGCTCTCTCCTCCGCAGAGGCTAGCGTGTTCTTCTTTCTGTTAATTTTAAATAAAGTATTACCTACCTACCTTTAAAGAATATGAATTCGAAGGAATTGAAATTGCGCTAGAAGGTATCTGGTATGAAGACAACCGCTGAGAATCGGCGCGCGGGCGAGGGGAAGGGAAGGAAAAAATAGCGGAAGCCTCTGCCCGATTTATGTCGATATCTGTGACAAATTGGCGATATCAGTAGCATCCGTATATTATCTCAACAATCCTTTCTGTTTTAAATTTTATTTCATAATGTGAAGACATTTTGGATAAAGATCTGTTGGCCAACGTATAGATTTTGGTATAATATTGTGTTATGAGATTGAACGAATGAAAATAATAAATAGTTTTGATCTATATTGTCTAAATATAATCCAAACAACTTTGCTGCCTCTTTCTCGTTTGAACAACACAACACCATGCTCTCACGATCGCCTTCATGATCAAAAATCTTGTAATTTTCATTATCCTATATTAAAGCACACATTCAGTGTAAAATACATCTGCAATTTAAAGTATATCTGTGCCTTTGTGTGTAATTCGGTAATGTTGTTGAAGGCCTACTTGACTAAATATATCTGTTGTTTGTGAACCACAGACAGCACAACACGTTTTCCTGCTCCGCAAAGTCAAAATAAATTGCCTTCGTGGACATGAATAATACGCAACTGAGCCATTTTGCCGAACTGCTCGAGAATCTGCACGAGTCTCTCTCCCCCCCCCCCGGTTTAACGCCATATTGGGACATAAAACGGGCAGAGGCTTCCGCTATTTTTTCCTTCCCTTCCCCTCGCCCGCGCGCCGATTTTTAGCGGTTCTCTTCATACCAGATACCAGTCAGTCTAGCGCAATTTCAATTCCTTCGAATTTCATATTCTTTAAAAGCCTCTGCGGAGGAGAGAGGAAGTTGAGCAAAACAGCATCTCTGCGTTGCACTAATTTCTTTGAAATTTTGACGTCGTCACAGAAAGCTATCCTGGTACAGTACAATTTCTGTACATAGGAGGCTTGAAGGAAAGATCCTTGGCGTGAGTTGTTATACCCTGGGTGCCAGAGGTTCTTCCACGCTCGTAGGGGTACTTAAACATTCGCTCGTTAAGAAATATCGTTCACCTTACTGAGGTCAAGGAACTAGTAAAGTTAAATAATATCGATGTCCTCACAATTTCCGAATCGTGGTTAAATTCCTCAGTAACGAACCGTGAGATTGCAATCGACGATTATAAGATCCACAGACTTGACCGGTTACACAAGAAAGGTGGAGGTGTCTGTGCTTATATCAAGAAGAATATTAAAGCAACTGTCTTAAAAGATTTATCGAAGGTGTCAGTCTCTAACTTTCATCAACTATGGATAAATCTACAATGCCAAAAAAACAAATCAATAATAATTTGTGTAACCTACCGACTACCTGACACTTCTCTAAATTGTTTCGAAGATTTACTTAAGCCAAATTATGTTCAGGCTTTAACTTTAAATAAACAGATTTTAGTGCTCGGTGACTTAAATTGTAACATGCTAGAAAACGGCCAAGAGCGGAGAGCGCTAACAAATTTTTCTACAGAATTAAATCTCACACAGATTATTAAAACTCCAACTAGAATCACGGCGACGTCCCAAACGCTTATTGATGTTATTCTAGTCTCATCCACAGCACTTGTTCTTGAGAGTGGTGTTATTAACACTTCTGTCAGTGACCACCTACCAGTGTACGTCCTACTAAAGTTAAAGGCCCCAAAGATGCCAGCATGTTACATTACAACTAGGAGTTATAAAAACTATAATCCCTCACTATTTTCCTCTGACCTTGTCACTAAATCGGATCGTCTGTTATCCATATTATCCAACACCAACGTTAATACAATACTCGAAACCTTCAAAGATGTTCTTCACTCAACTCTCGACGTGCATGCACCGTTAAAAACCTTCAAAATTCGAAATCGATCATGTCCATATGTCACCAATGAAATAAAAGAACTCATGAAGTCTCGGGACCTACACCTCCGTCGGTTTCAACTGACACGTGATGAAGGTGATTGGGTAGTTTACAAAGAATATCGTAATAACGTAAAAACCAAAATTAAAGCCGCAGCGAAGGACCACACCTTCAACGAAGTAAGAGAACATAAACACAATTCGAGATCCCTATGGAAAATAATTAATAATATAATTCCCTCGAAGGAAAAGGAAACACAAGTTTATAGTAAAGATCCAAAAACAGTTGCAGAAGATTTCAACCTTTTTTTTACTTCTGTGGGACGGAACGCTGCTGCGACAGCCGAAAGTTTAGCCAAAGACAACAATGTTGCACTGTCAAATCCTCTGTCAAATGTAATCACTTATCCATCTGATCAACTGTTCAATTTCCAATCCGTTACTTGTACAGAGGTTCAACGCATTATCATGGCTATGCCAAGTAATAAGTCACCAGGACCAGATAAAATAGGCATGCGTGTCATCAAAGACTGTCTTCCAATCATACTGGGTCCTCTTACGCATATGATAAATTGCTCTCTAATGACAAGCACATTCCCTGACCTATGGAAGATTTCTGAAGTTATACCCCTACTAAAAGAAGGAGACCACGAGATAGCCTCAAACAATCGGCCTCTCTCACTACTCGAGGTAGTTTCAAAAGTTTGTGAAAAAGTTGTTCTAAATCAATTTAGCTCCTACCTCAAAGAATTTAATCGCATATCGTCACATCAAAGCGGGAATAGGAGTCTTCACTCCACCGAAACCTTAAACATATTTGTTACCGATACGATGTTGGAAGCCATAGACAACAAAAATCTAACGGCACTAATTTTATTGGATTTATCCAAGGCATTTGACAGTGTCAGTCATTCGATTTTATTACACAAATTGAGTTGTATCGGTGCTTCACCCGAAGCTGTTAAATGGTTCCAAGACTATTTAACAGGCAGATCCCAATACGTGCGCATTGGATCCACCAAGTCATCAGCTCGCCCAATAACCCATGGCGTTCCACAAGGTGCAATACTATCACCACTTCTGTTTTGCATCTATATTAATGATCTGCCAGGGAGCATACAATCGTGTAACCTTGATTCATACGTAGACGACTCAAAGCTTTACAAATCATTCTGCATCTACGACTTGGAACAGACAACTATCAATTTAGAGGCAGATCTACAAATAGCAGCCAAGTGGTGTTTGGAGCACCAATTACTGATCAATCCAGAAAAAACTAAATTCCTTGTAGTCGGTTCAAGACCCATGCTGCAGAACGTACCTACAGAAATATCGCTAACATTTTTAGGAAAGACTATAAGACCTGTTTTATTAGCTAAAGATTTGGGAATCAATTTGGATTCGTACCTATCCTACGACGACCACATATCTAAACTCGTTTCGTCGTGTATGAGAAAACTATGTCAAATAAATCGCGTGAAGGATAGTTTCGATAATGAAACATTAAAATTGGTCATTGAGACACTTGTAATTAACAAGCTTCTGTACTGCTCTACGGTGTGGTCCAACACGTCATCTAACAATATCAATAAACTTCAATCAGTGCAGAATTTCGCATGCAGAGTTATATCAGGGGTAGGAAAGTTCGATCACATAACTCCGGCGTTGCGCGAACTAAATTGGTTGCCAGTGGAAAAGTTATTATTGGAAAGGGATACTGTAATGGCTTACAAGTGTTTTAATGGACTTGCACCTGACTACCTAGTAGATAAATTTATAAAGCGTTCCGATATACATGATCGATCGACAAGAAATCATGACCTCTTGGACATCCCTCTGTATAAATCTGCTGCAGGTCAAAGAACATTTAATTACCGGGGTGTTAAAATATGGAATGACTTGGATGACAAACTAAAAAATATTACATCAATAACAATTTTTAAGAAAAAACTTAGGGAGATTTTACTAAAAGAATCCTATTAAATACATTTAATATTTCATACTCTTTGTACATATTTTAACTAATTTTAAATAAGTATATGTAACATAGGTAGTTTTAGAAGTAATTTATAGTAATTTTAATATGTAATGTAGTGTTGAAAAGCCCTTAGGGGAACACGCAATAAAGTATCTATCTATCTATCTATCTATCTATCTATAATGAGGGATACACGAGGATTCAAGTTGGGAGGCGGCGAGTGGGAAGAACTTCTGGAACACTTCTATGGCCTTTACTGTTTTAACTGTCACATGTCAATCAAACGTTAGCCAATAGGACACGTATTTATTTTTGACTGATGATGATTTGGGCGTGTTCAACCGAACATTTGAGCGATGGAAATTGCGACAGAATGTGTCAATTTCAAAACAAAAAATTGAAATTAGCGAGTCTTTATAGTAAAATAAACCGAATAATATTATATGGCCACATGGCATTACACCTGTTAAAAGTGTTACAAAAAAGCGGAGACGAGTATTGTCGAGTTTGTGGTGAATTTGTTATTCACAGTGGGCATTTTAGTATATACAGTAAAAGGATCGTCGCCTCGGTAGATTGAACTTTGAAGCATTTCTTGTTCATCATATAATACAAACGAATATTTGCCGTCCAAGGCCCTGTTTATATGGAGGCGAGTTACTCTGCAATTGGCGAATAGAACTTATCTAATGATTCGTGTGTATTTTTGAACAATATATTATATTTCAAATGCAAAGCACATACATTTATACACATACATTCGATCTCGGGCGGCCGAGTTAACAAATACCCGAACATCTTTTGTTTAATATGGTAAAGATTCATCTCGCCGAAGGCAATATCTCGCCTCTTTCTGCCGGGAACTCTTCACTGGCGAGTTTATACTCTTTACTACATGTAAACAGACTCCCGGGTTTACTATACTGTATACGTTTCTATAATATAGCCGGGATCTTGTCGTTGACGAGTATAAACTCGACTTGTCGGGTAATTCGCCTCGATATAAATAGGCCTATAAAGACTCCCATCTTGTAATCTTGCCAGTCTTGACATGCTTGATTACTAGGCAGCCACGCACACGAAATTCCTTCTTGGCAATATAGCAAACATATCACGGCGATGCATTAACTGAAACACAGAAACAAGATCTTGATGTTTATTGAGTTTTGTAACACCGTCCAGTAAAAAATTCAAAATCGAATCAACCGCGACCGAGTTGTTGAAATCCTCTCGCAAGACTCGCAAAACTAGAGGCATATATATTTACGCCTGACTATGTTATAAATATAATATTATTATATTAAACAACAGCGTATGCCTGTACGGATTCTGAACGATAATATCTTGAAGGACATACGGTTCAAACAGCCAATGAAAGTCATTGTTTTAACAAGTCCCTGCCGTTAACCAATGAACACTGTGATCCAGATTCTGGATCACTTCACACTATTAAGCATCGTGATTGGTGCGGTTCGATCTGAGAAACCATAGAAGTGTTCCAGAGGTTCTTCCCGCTCCCCGCCTCCCAGCTTGAATCCTCGTGTATCCCTCATTATCCCACCTACGAGCGTGGAAGAACCTCTGGCACCCAGGGTAGAGTTGTTACTGTTGAAGATAAGTCTTGATCACTGTGGTCAGAGGGCTGTCGCTGGTTCGGTGTGTCTGGACCTTTACACCTAAACGGCGAGCGAGGCGAAAGGCAGGTGTCCGTCGGACCGTTTGCAACGCAGGCTACGATCCTGCTATTGCTGTTATCGCCAAATCGTGAATAAATGCTTTACTACTAATTCCTGCCTAGCATTGGTTCCCAATTACTACCACGAGTTTTTCGCTCGAAAGTTTTCAGTCGCTTGTTTTCCCGCACTTAACATATTGAATATACAGCTAGGGCAATACAGTAATAGACAATAGTAGAATTTATTTACCACCTTTGGCAGAGAATTACAGGGGTATTACAGAATAAAAAATATTGAAAATTTACAACAAATTTAGAGTAGCTATATATAGTGATAGTGAACTTTATTTAGGCACGGAGGCCTGTCATCGAAAATAAGATGATCTTCCCAGGCGCCGTGACATTTGAATTATTTACAATATTTACAAGGAGAGAAATTAAAGCTGTATACATAACAAAGTAATTCTACAGTTTATTTTTGAATATCTTTAGGGAAGTGGAATTCCTAATTTCAATTGGTATTGAATTCCATACCACTGCTCCGTTGTATTCGAGACTCAGATTTTTCAAAAAATTGATGTTTGGTTTAGGGATAACAAAATTGTAGTCATGACCTCGTGTACCATGACTGTGAATTAAACTTATATCAGCTATAATTCTGTTTATGACTATTTAACTAAAATAAGAAGAATTATTGCCTACATATTCAAGTAAGACTATTTTGTTTACTATGTTTGTTAAAATAGCTCAACCAAGCTCGGTATAAATGATTGTTTATGTCTATGTGTATGTGAAATTGGCGCTAAAATCGGGCCGGCACAACCTGTCCTTAGGTTATATTCATGTCCGCTAGTTCCACAAATAAATCCGGCTTTCTATACGAATGTAAAAATAACTGTGAAATAATCTATTCGACGTTTCCTTATCTCGACACTTTATCAATTCGTCACGATTTTCTGCGTTTTAGTTAATTATTTTTATCTCTGTTGTTGAGTTGAAAACATGTTTTTAAATCTACCTGAAATTATCGTTAAACAGTTGCGGGTAATTAATATTTCACGAAGAGAAATGGCTCTTTATCTGAATAAAGAAACTAAAGAATATTCTTCGCCAAAATAAAACACGTTATTTTAATTATAGTTTCTAAATTGGCTAAAGAGTAAAGTTGTGAGTGCGCAGACTACTACATAATCATAGATCACATTCGCGATGGAGCTATACATACTGATAATATTATCAAAAGTTATAAATATCGAATAGACATTGATAATTACTATTCTTTGTAAACACAGTCTGCTAATGCTCGTTTCTACCCAAATCACAAGTTCTCGTGGCTTTTAGCATTAGAATGATTATGAATGAATAACTCGTACAGATAAGACGTGGTTTCCTTTGTTTTGATTCTATATATGCTTTCGTAAGTTGAAACAATAGCAACTGCGCATTTCCGTGAGTTATCCAAAGTTGTCGGGCAGGCTGGGCAGCAACATTAAGGCAGTTTACAGTATCAAAGTTTCTGTGATCACAGGAGGAATTTTGCATAGATATTTGCATTGAAGGATTTGTAAGAAATGTTTGGGGGAACTGACTCGGTGTTTAACACTAATGCCCGTATTCTAAAAGCTCACTCACACTCAATGAGTGGAGGTTCAATCTGAGCTTTTCTTGAGTGTCATTGCTGTTATTGAATAGCTGGAGGGTTAGTGTCGTACCTTACTATGTGACTACTCACCCTCCAGCTATTCAAAAACAGCATTGACACGCAAGAGAAGCTCAGATTGAACCTCCACTCATTGAGTGTGAGTGAGCTTTTAGAATACGGGCGTAAGTGAGTTTGCTAAAACATTTCTAAGATTTCTTCTTCAAAACTTAGAATTTACCAATGCAAAATTCCTATAATGTGATCATCAACCAGCATTAATCGTTTTTGTGATCGTGCCCAATAATACCGTGACGTCGACCGTGACTCCGTTCACATGAGCGATTATATTGCGGTATACCTAGCGATAATTTCTTTTAAATAAAAAGATACTTTCAAATACCGCAAATCCGCAATTTATGAATATTGCTCGACTGCAGACAATGATCTATCAAATAACTTTGAAAGTTTGCCAGAGTCGTCTTTTGAATATTAATATTCCATGTAATTTATTATATCTATCATACATAAGAAGTATGGTGAAAAACAAGATATATACTAGCTGAGGTTTTTAATAGACTTTGAAGTGTTTGAAAATCACTATAGAGCATTTGCACATGACGTCACAGCCGCCATGTTGCATGGTGTTCCAAATGGCAATTCCAGCTTTTAATTTATGCGTGCAGGGGGTGACGAGAAGTAAGGTATCATATTGCCGATTATGCTGAAAAGTTTTAATAAAAACTGCCGAAACAACTGAAATATTTCAATATTTACAAGTATAAGCTATCATTGCATGTTTACACGTACACCATTGTTATTTTTTTAGCATTATCAGCAATGTGATACCTTACTTCCCATCGTCTCCTGCAAGCATAAACTAAAAGCTGGAATTACCTATGGGCAATTCCAGCGTTTAGTTTATAATGTAAGAACTTTTGTTAAAAATACACATTAAAATTATAGTTACAATAAAAAAAAATGTTTAAAGTTAAACGATTAGTTGCATCTGTTTATTTGTTTTCCAAACGAGTTCATATGTTCCTATACAATTACAGTTTAAATTTTGTTCAGCAAGAAACACAGGGTTTAGTTGCATTCCTATCAATCCCACGCTTTCTTCTCAAAAAAACCCCATTTTTAAGGAGACATTCAACGCGAAATTTGGCCATTACGTAAACTACTTGCATCACCTGTAATCAATGTTCCCCTCATTAAATAAAGTCTTTCTTCTTCTGAGTTTTTGAAACATTGTAACTTTGTAAGCATATAATGTGTTTCTCCAGGCATCGTGAGTACTAGAATGTCGTTGGATCGCGAGGAACAAGCAGAGTATACGTTAGAAATAACCGCAAGTAATGGAGCCAGTAATTCGAAAGCATTGCTGGTTATAAATGTTGATGACGTTAATGACCATGATCCTGTGTTCTTGAGAAAGAATTACCAGGTACATACTGAGTAGTTTTCTTCAAGTAACCCCGTTTTCCTCCCTCACAAAAATTAACCCTTCCACCTTTGTTGTGCTTTTTGATCAGAAATATGGTGGCCGCCAGAGGTGCCCTAGTAAGCCTTTGATCAAGTTTAATCACGTTTGATCGATAATATCGATTAGGTTCAGTGGTGGATACTTTAAGGGGAGGGGCTAATTAGGTTGCCCACATATGACTGCCTCTTGTCTAAAATTTCATTCAATATACTGCTTAATTTATAGCCTACCAAAGCTTTCATGGTTAAAAATATCTGCCCCCCTCCCCCTGGTGTCCACTATTGACTAGGCAAATATGAACCCATAGATTCTTGTCGTATACGTATGTCTCAGTTTGGCCATCCTAGAATTTAAACAGAAATGCACGTCAACATATTAATTCCGTGAAATTATTTTCTAGGTGGAAATTACAGAGAACAGAGGAATGGTAAAGAACTTGCTGTGTTTAGTGGCGAGAGACAAAGATCGCGGCAAAAATGCTGAAGTGAACTACGTCATTGTCTCGGGAAATAAGACTTTGTTTCATATTAATGACACGTCAGGCACTCTCTCCAGTGAATCACTTAATTTTGAGGATACCAGGAAACATGTATTGAGAATTAGGGCCACAGATCATGGAGATCCTCCACGATCTTCATTTACCACTGTGGAGGTATTGGTCAAGAATGTGAATGATGCCCCGACGTTTGAGTCGGAGGAAATTGCAGGTAGAGTTAGTGAAAGTTTACCTTTTAGAGTTGAAAGTCACCTAATTTTATTCATACCACATAGCTCTATGGTCCAGTGTTACTACAGAGGTCCAGTGTCCATCTCTTGTTGATCCAGTCATCTAGTGTTGCTACAGGAGGAAACCCAGATGATCTAGTGTTACTACAGGAGGAAACCTAAACTAAACTAACTTTTCTTAAACAGGTCCAAGAACGATCATTTCTTGTTGATCTAGTGTTACTACAGGAGGAAACCTTCATGGTTTAGTGTTACTACCGGGGAAGCCAATTAACTAAAGAACCCAGAAGAAACATGTGGTGTTTCCAACATGCAACTAAGGTGTAATGACAACTGCAATATTAGTAAGATCAAAGCCATGAGCATAGAAATTTAACGATTATGCCTCCAACATAAATTTTTCAATGTTTAGTTAGTATTGACGAAGAGAAACCAGCAGGCACAGGAGTGGCATTCCTTCCAGTTCTTGACGAAGATGTTGGGAAAAATGGCGAATTTGATTGCACTTATGAAAATATAGATCCAGAAGAGTTTGGCAAGTTTCGAGTGGTGACAACTAGCGGTGGATGTGAAATTTACAATAAAGTTTTGTTGAAGTGGTTTGAAGGAAGTTCCTATTCTTTACGTGTGAGAGTCACTGATAGAGCTTCCCTTTTTCATAAGTCTGATGTTATCACAGTTGGAGTTAAGGTGAGATGCTTTGGTTCAACAACAACAACAACAACAACAATTTACAATTCCCACTATAGACTCATTTTTTATCTTGGCAAAAAAGCATATTCCCGGAAAGAGCATACTAAAATGAGTAAAATTGCAAATTTTGGTTGCGAAATGTTGTAAAATGCAGAAATATATAGTTGTATTGCGTGCGGAAATTGCTACCATCTTCGGCCCAAATGTGCTTGCAATGTCCGCACGCAATACAAAACTATACAAAATTTGAAAACTTTGCAAGGCTATATTTTCTGCATTTTACAACATTTCGCAACCAAACTTTGCAATTTTACTCATTTTACTATGCTCTTTCTAGCTGTGGTGATTTATTTGCATCTCCTTGTCTAGTTTTACAATTAGTCTATAATGGGGACTGCCTATTACTAACTATTTACAATTTTTTAAAATTTCTGTATCACACGTAGTGGCACGAATAACTAGAAATAGGAAAACTAAACGAGTCTAGTTCCCCTGCATGGGCAAGAAATATTCAATTTATTTACTGATAATATTAAAACATTATCAATCATGTAAATCATGTTTCTAGACAAACACGATTATTTAATGTTGTAAAAATAGTCTAGGCTAAGTAGATAATATAAGGAGCCTCGGGAGAATGGATTACTGATGTGACGTTATGACATAATCTGTATATCTACAGGGTGTCCCCAAAAAAGTACCCTCCATAGAAATCATCCTATTGTTGTTAAGCACGGGATTTCATGCGCCTGGTAATTAAAAATTCAATTCAATTGTGTTTACGCACTCTTGTGTTCAGTATAGTGCTCAGGCATTCAAATTATAACAATAGGATAATTTCTATAGAGGGTACTTTTTTGGGACACCCTATATAACCGACAATGGCAAAATGTGATCCATTACGCCAGTGAAATGGCGTAATCGTCCGTCATTCCATTCTTTAATAGATCATGGATTACGCCGAATGAAAAGGCAGAATGAATTGAGATGATTATATTAATTTGAAATGTCTACTGAACAAAAATGAAATATCTCCTCTATATTTAGATCAGAGACCTGAACAACCATGACCCAGTGTTCCTACAAGATTCCTACTACTCCTCTGTACCCCCAGGTACCACCTCTATTCTTACAGTGGTCGCTACAGATGAAGACAATGGGCGTAATGCCAGAATAAGATATTCTTTAGCAACCCAGTCTGAAATATTCCAAATTCATACGCGAAAATGGCGAAAAGAAACGTTAACAGTTGGAAAGCTAACAGCTGTCAGGGGAAAACTTCATGCAGGCAAACATATAGTGGACGTGTTTGCTGAAGACCAGGGTAAACTCAAACGAAGGACTAAAGTCACGTGTTTTATAACTGTCGATAGCGAGATGAATCGTTCTCCCCTGACAATCAGTTTGTCGAAACCCAAACCGACGCTTTATGAGAATGTCGGTCTTAATACACTCGTCACCACAGTTCGTGTGAAGAAAGCTGGGGTACAGTATAGCATTGTGGGCGGAAACACTGGACACGCTTTTAATATCTCTCGACATGGCAGAGTTAGTGTGGCAAACATGTTAGATTATGAAACTGTGAGAGAGTATAGACTTGTTATCAGAGCTATGTATAAATCGAGTGCGGGACTGGAACTAGCAACTGAGGTGTGATGTCATTAATTATATGCTTCCTTGTGTGCTTCTGCGGAATATGTTAATGAGACTGTATAACACGCGGAATATGTTAATGAGGTTCATAAATGTAATCAGCTAATGCGTGTTTATGTCCGTTGTCATCCCATTCATTTCCATATATAATTTAAATCGGCTGGGGTAACTTTGTTTCATTCTACTGGTATGTTTACTACATCAAAACAGTGGTAACTAAGCATGTGACATGATGTCGTCTGATTAGCAGTTGGCAACATATAACAATGCATTAGTAGAATGCACTGTATGTCTTGATATAACCCACTATCACTTCTATTTAGTAACCTGGAATATAAACTTACGTTACTGCAGTTCTCATGGAGTTCTTCAGTTACTGCAGTTCTACTCATGTCCACATGACCTCTAGAAGTGTATTGAGTTGTTTAATGTTTAATTACTTATTTCTGATGTTTTCATTCCTCTAGAAAGTTCTCAGAATTCCAATACTAGACATCAACGACAACGAACCAAGATTCACGATCCTGGAGAACCCCCTGGTTCTGAACATCAACACAAGAGTCCATCCTGGATCTGTTATCACCAAAATACTCGCTCACGATGCTGACTCAGCAAAAACTCTCATCTATACAATCAAGTCTAGTTCGTCTCCAGTCCCTTTCAAGATTGACTCCAGCTCTGGTGTGATTACTGCTCGGACCTCGCTGCAAAGTCGTAGTTGGTCGTATTTGTTTACGGTCGTCGCCGAAGACGGAGGGACAGCGAGGAAACGTAATGAACTTGAGATACATGTAAGAATCCTTGTGGGTAATTCTAGTTTGAAAATCCCTAGACATCAATTGGTAGCGAAGGTTAATGAGGGGCCTTTGGGAGTAAGTAGGAATATTCTAAGTTTTGGCATAAAAAATGTAGCCGAACATGACCTGACGTATTCTATAATCAAAGGGAATTATGGGACCGCTTTTTGCGTTGATGTCACAGGTTCTCTTTACGCGGTCAGAGAACTGGATAGAGAATCACGTGGGAACTATATTTTGTCTGTCTCGGTAAATGATGGAGAGAGCTCGGAAATTTCCGATGTTCACATCACAGTCAATGATATTGATGATCATCGTCCCCAGTTTCCCGATGGCGAAATCTTGATATTTACTGACGAAAACATGCAAGAACAGAAAATCAAGAGATTGAGTGCAGAGGACAGCGACTTAGGTAACATTACATACGGGATAGTTGGAACATCACGTCAGTCTTATAGCAATGTCTTCGCAATGGATCATGGGATAGTAATGATAACCCGAACTTTAGACCGCGAGGAGGCTGCAACACATGTGTTAACCATAGTAGCCACAGACCAAGCTTCACACAAGACATTCGCTCGAGCTGTTGTTCTCGTTCGAGATAAAAACGACAACTCCCCCCGGTTTCTGTCACGTGACTACGCTCAACGTATCCCTCTGAATGCCGCTCAAGGTTATTTCATTCTGCGAACTCTGGCGACTGATAAAGATTCGGGACTGAATGGACAAATAAGGTACCTGAGGAATTTTTATGTTATGAGGATTTTAGATAAAAATCCGTTACAGAACAAACCAGGGGCCAGTTGTTCAAAGATAAGCACTAACCCTGGTTACCCTGGTAACCCTGGTTACCCTGGTTTGTATATTTCTGCACGTCTGCAGTTTATTTCAAAACTTCAGGGAAGATCCAGACAAGATCTATGAAGAAATATTTCCAAATTTATAGACAAGCTGTCAGGAAGTTTGCTTTGAATTTTAGGTTAACTTAGGGTTAAGCTAACCCAGCTTTGAACAACCGACCCCAATAGAATAGATTGCTAACACAGTCTCACAATAGACCTTATGCTTAATGACGTCACAAGGCTTGATGCCCGCGAGGAATGCTGGTCTTAGTAGTCATCGTCCGGGAAAATTTCGATAGTGGAAAATAGATAGTAGAAAATTTCGATAGTAGAAAATTTCCATTTTGAATTGTTTAATTTTCCCAGGCGATGACTATTAAGACCAGCATTCCTCGCGTGCATCAAGCCTTGTGACGTCATTATGCATAAGGTCTATTAAACTAAACTAAACTTAACGAACTTTATATCAAATAGCTCGGAAAGTACGTCACCTTGACTATGGAGCCTCGTTTTCGTGATTGCAGCTTTGGACTTTAACCAATTCCAACGAAAACGAGGGCTTTGGCCAAAATGAAATACTTTTGTATTTCGGAGTGTCCTCCAGATGCTCCCTAACAATATCTGTTCGGGTGCAACAACCACATACAGCGCAAAAATTAACCATTTTAACACAAAATTATTATAAACTTTTAAAAAATTTCCTTTGCTTACAAAAGTTATATTATGCATAGATTGCTAATTTGTCCTCCAGATGCATCGTCACCGGCGCTGTGACGTCATGTACAATGGGTCTATTGCTCTCATCAGTAAGTATGTTGTGAGTGCCGCTCTTTCTTACAGAAGGTTGAGGTGAAATTATTATAATCAGTCAACTATATCGCAGAAATTGAGCCCTGGTGACAGAGATGAAAGACTTGTACTGACCATAGCATGCATCACTAAAGCACAGAATACTATACAGAAGTCCATCTCCATTGTTTTTTGCGTAAGCGCTATTCGTCATGATTCGTCACTCAGCAAGTACCGTAAACAGAAGCAGTTAACCCCTGGACGTGCGCCATTTTGAGTATTGCCAGGGGGGACTGCTTCTGTCTACGATACTTGCTGAGTGACAAATCATGACGAATAACACTTACGCAAAAACCAAGGGAGATGGACTTCTGTATAGTATTCTGTGACCAAAAGCGCATTCCATTCAGTGCAAAATGTTGCGCAATCGACAATTTGCTATCGCTTTCTTTTGAAATACAAACAGTGAAGCGGAACAAATTTCATTAGCGATCGCGAAAAATCGATCGTGGGACATTTTGCACTGAATGGAAATCCGCCTTAATTAATAACGCCCCCAAACCATTTCCTGTCATATTGATAAGTTAATTCGTTGCGCGAATAATTATGTTCATGCAATTCTATTGTTTCAGTTACACGATTCATCCATTATCGAAAATGTTCACAATTGATGAGTCCACAGGCTGGATAAGTGTGGCCAGCGAACTTACACATGGTAGTTTTATATTCAATGTGACTGCGGAGGATCATGGGACAGCACGACGTCGTGATACAGTGCCAGTCAAGATTATTATTGAGGTCAGTGCAGGGCCTCCACGTTTCTTATACCGGGGCTTCCCGCGAGGGTTCTACGAAAGTGTTCCCGAATACCAAATCAGTGGGACTAAGGTGTTAAAACTAACTGCAGTTAGTGAAGATATAGTGGCCTATGCTTTATACCAGACCAACGTCACTGACTTTGTAATTGATCCTATCTCAGGAGAAATTACCACGACCAAACCATTAGACTACGAGAACATCAAATATTACGAGTTCACAGTAAGTGCCACTGACCGTAGTGAGCGTATAAGCCTGGCTGATGTGAGGGTATCTGTGGAGAATATTAATGACAATAAACCTCGAATTTTAAATACGAACAAGAATAATGAGATCTCATGTCGTATACGTTAAGATGCACACGTTGGCTCTTTACTCATCAAGATTCAAGCCCAGGACCTTGATAATGATCGTCTGAGCTTCTCTTTGACTCAAAACTCGAAATCAAAACTTTTCAGTATTGACGCGGCTGGTAATATAAACACTCTGGGGTCACTACAGGGCATCAAGGATAATATATATCTCGCAGTGACAGTTAGGGATAATGGGAGTCCCGTGTTGGAGGATACTGCTACAGTTAATGTTGTTATTGTGAACTATGAAGACAGCCTCATTTCTATGTCGAAGGCCGAAGTCAGTGAAGATGCCATAGTCGGAAAACCTATTCCTGTTTCACCAAAAATTACCCCACGGTTCAAACGTACTCAATATACCCTAATTTATCCCCTTCAATCACCATTTACTCTCCATAGCACCCTTGGGAACCTCAGTTTGAAAACGAGGCTTGATTACGAGGAGCGGCAGAATTACTCCCTGATCGTGAGACTACAAGAGACTGGAAACAAGAAAAATTATTTTGATGTCGATATCAGAATTGAAGTGAAAGACGAAAATGATAACCAGCCGGAGTTTGTTCCTCCCGGGGATTTCAGCAGTTGCACAAACCCGATAGGGAGAAAGATCCATGAAAATGCGCAGAGAGGAAGTTTAGTGTATCAGTTAAAAGCAAGGGATAAAGACAGTGGTTTAAATGGCGAGGTTGATTATTCGATGGGAAAATGCCAAGACGTCGACTGTGATGACTTGTTCTCGTTGGATTTGAATACTGGAGAGCTTAAGACCACTGGAGTTTCTTTAACAGAACCTCAGTATAAAGTGAACATTCTCGTATACGATAAAGGAATCCGCGCACGAAGTACCCGGGGTTGTATCATAGTGAAGGCCGGTCCGTGGAAACCGCAGTTCACGAAGCAAGAATATCATTTTGAAGTGGATGAGTCTGCGGATGTTGGTCAGCGTGTTGGGGTGGTCGAGGCTCAAGGATTTGGAGTTGCTGTCACGTATGAACTACGGAGTCCAAGTAAGAAACACTGTTTTAACGACACACACTCGTAGATGAAACGTCTATTCTCACGTGATCATGAAACTTTTATGTTTCTCAAGCGCTTTTGACAGTTTTTAGCCTGATCACGTTTCATGTTAGATGCGCAGGTTGCCCCCCCTCTGGAAAGTCTTCCCACTCTACCTAGAGAAATTTGCACCCCTGCAAAAGTTTAAATGCTCATTAGATTAAATTACAGCAGTATGATTGAAAGACGAATTTTGACCTAAATAAGATTAAAAACAAGGATTTTGAACAAAATCTCAAAAAATCTCACAATTTGCCAGCTCGCACGGAAACGTTCTGCTCCCTTTGGCTCCCCCCCCCCCTCCTGACTTTTCAGCATCCCTCCAGAGCAAAATCTGAAAATCTGTCTATGGTTGGATTATTATTGAAACTTGTCTTACAAACATGAAAGAGTAGACAATAGTTTTATCTTTAATTGTTCATCTTGGATGGAAACGACAAAATTGAACAACAGTAGATAATTTGAAGATTGGGACACATAATAAAGACACACAGAAGGTCGACTCCACAATCCCGTTACAATTCCATGATTCGTCATCAAAATGCTGTCGCCATGGTCCTAGCTAGTGCGCTTATGAGAGACGTCGAAGACGTCGAGAAAATGGCGTCAAAATGGCGTGGCATATCCATACATGGGCACAACACGTCCCCCCTGGAGGTCCGCCATTTTGAATATTATCAGG